GGGTGTTAGGTGTTAGTTTGTGCATGCCTGCGGCCCGTCGACTGATAGGGGGCGCCGCTGCACGCACAGGTACGAGCATGGGGCGTTAGGTGTTAGTCTGTGCATGCCCGCGGCCCGTCGACTGATAGGGGGCGCCGCTGCACGCACAGGTAAGAGCGTGGGGCGGGGGCGTTAGGTGTTAGTCTGTGCATGCCTGCGGCCCGTCGACTGATAGGGGGCGCCGCTGCACGCACAGGTAAGAGCGTGGGGCGGGGGCGTTAGGTGTTAGTCTGTGCATGCCTGCGGCCCGTCGACTGATAGGGGGCGCCGCTGCACGCACAGGTAAGAGCGTGGGGCGGGGGCGTTAGGTGTTAGTCTGTGCATGCCTGCGGCCCGTCGACTGATAGGGGGCGCCGCTGCACGCACAGGTAAGAGCGTGGGGCGGGGGCGTTAGGTGTTAGTCTGTGCATGCCTGCGGCCCGTCGACTGATAGGGGGCGCCGCTGCACGCACAGGTAAGAGCGTGGGGCGAGGGCGTTAGGTGTTAGTCTGTGCATGCCCGCGGCCCGTCGACTGATAGGGGGCGCCACTGCACGCACAGGTAAGAGCGTGGGGCGAGGGCGTTAGGTGTTAGTCTGTGCATGCCCGCGGCCCGTCGACTGATAGGGGGCGCCGCTGCGCATGGGTACGACTGTGGGGCGGGGGCGTTAGGGTGGGTGGGTGAAATGCTTTGAATATCTCTTGGATGACAGTACAATTTGTTAATTAAAGGAAAAAATATGGTATACTTGGGAGTACTAGCGGGTGAAAAAACTCATGAAAAATATTATGCTAATTATAATTATGCTTGTGTCTTTTGTTTGTTCTTAGTTTTAAGAGGGCATAATGTTAACGATATTTTTCGTACCTGCTCCAATACGGAGCGGATGTAGAGAAGTGCCGTTTGACTGTTCGCTGCCGAGGGTCTAAATTTAAGTGGTGCTCAGCCAGATCTGTACGATCGAACATATGTGCAAATATACGATCGGAAAGTTTGTGTCGTGGTCAGAGCAGTTGTTCTCATTACGTCTGCGCTGTGCTTTCAGATTTGTTGTGAATAAGCAGAAGGGGGGTGGGCGATCTTCGAGAGTAAACGGAAGACTTGTAAAGCTGGACGAGGGCTGATGAAAAACAGCACCCTCTAGTGGCCAGCAGGAGGCGCGGGGGTCGCGTCCGACACCGGCGGTGACGACAAGGAGCATGCGGCGACGAACCAAGAGAGCGTGGATCGTCGTGCGGGGACAACGCAAGCGAGATATGACAACCAGCAGGTGAGGCCACGCGTGCTAGAACCGGCGACCCCTGGTGTTGACGGAGGGCGTGCACCTGTTATCGCGCTTGCACGGTGAATTTTTTGGCGTCAGGACGCGGCGTTCAAGTCGACGATTATTTTTTGTGTGGATTACGACAAGTTTTTTCGACCGTCGGCTCGCGTACTGTGGTGGGGTTGCCGCGGAGTTGCTCCTCGGTCTGTCGTAACGCGACGTGGCGTTATTGAAGAATGATGGAACAGGGTTTATTATTTTTTCTAAACTTACGGATGGCGCCGCCACCGTCGTCGCATACTTAATTGCGTATAATTTAAATTATGAGAGATGCCGATGATGATTATGATGACGATTTTTCGTGATGAATTTCGATGGTGAAACGTCGTGCGCGCACAAGGGACAGTTTTGTAAATATGCGTCGTGTACAATTTGAATCGTGCCTAGTGGTTTTTTGTGGCTGTCGCACACACCTTAGCTTAATTCTCGCGTGGTAGGTTGTACTGTAGATTAGAACGGAAATAGATTTGATGTTTATATACGTTTATAACCGAGTAACCTAGTGTCCAATCATGACGGAGTATGAAATATAGATGCATAAATAATCAACATTCGTACGTAGTATATATATTATATATTCGGCACTCAGTGTTAAGCCAAAGTGTAAAACTACCAGTTAGGAAGAAGTTCTGAGTTTTATGAAGTGCAAGTTTAGGAACATGTTCTAATCTAAACTAAACCTTTGATCGTGGTCGCTGTTAAAGCTTTTACTAAATCAATTCCACAGACAGGGATGTGGCTGGAAACAAACAAGGTCAATTTATTAAACAGTTCACATGTTCTGTATTCTTTGGTAAGCAGCAGTAGCTGGGCATTATGTACGTTCACTGAATCTGTTCAGCAAACAGCAATAGGACGAGGCTAGGGGTCTAGGGTCCTTGATCCGAATTCTGTTGGGTTACAATAATGTATCTAGAGATAGATGTGGTGGAGCAAACTACAGATCGACTGACCAACCAACCGGGCAAGACTCGAAACATTCAGTCAGTTCATCTGGTCCGAAACCCCAGCCAGTCCTGATTTTCATTTCTACTTCACAACCTATTGTAAAATCCTTAAAAACTAGCGAGCTCTGCGCAAAGGTTTCCGGTCGCTGTCTTGAGTGACGGGCTGCCATTTTGCGTCACTGGTTTATTATTTCCGGAATGCTAGAGTGTGACGACTTCTGTGGAGAATGCAGATGTAATAGCTTAGATCTTGTAGTTGTCAGTTAGGTGAGTAGTGAAGGTGCAGGTATTTGTGAGCAAGCCTACCTGTGAGAGGCTACATATATAAAGTACGCTCCTGTCGGTAGCTCACTGTACGATGTACGCAAATTTCTTTTATGTCGAATTTACATTGTGACCTGTACATGTGGCATGATCTATATAGAATTGGTGCACGTTGTAGATAAGAGGACACGTAGACAAAAGGACACGTTATAGATAGAGGCACACGACAACGGGGCATGTTATAGACAAAGGGGCATGGCAATGGGGCACGTGATACATGAAGCGATATAACGTCTCCCTCTATGAACTGTAACATTGCCATGTCCTCTGTCTGTAATGCACAAATGGACAAGTTATAGGCAAGAAAACACGTTACAACTTACAGATAAGCTTGCACGTATTAGAGAAGCATTACACTAACCTGCTCCACCTGTGTAGCCCTTTAGATATGGATTGCACATGTAGAGCTAAGGGGGCACGTTATGGACAAGGGGCACGTTACGGACAAGGGGCACGTTATGGGCAAGGGGGCACGTTATGGACAAGGGGCACGTTATGGGCAAGGGGCACGTTACGGACAAGGGGCACGTTATGGGCAAGGGGGCACGTTATGGACAAGGGGCACGTTATGGGCAAGGGGCACGTTACGGACAAGGGGCACGTTATGGGCAAGGGGGCACGTTATGGACAAGGGGCACGTTATGGGCAAGGGGCACGTTACGGACAAGGGGCACGTTATGGGCAAGGGGGCACGTTATGGACAAGGGGCACGTTATGGGCAAGGGGCACGTTACGGAC